TCTTCTTATGAAATCAAAAGGAATCTCATCTATTTTCTGCCACTTGGATGGCTGGAACCTGTATCCATTGGTATATACATGTGCCAGAATTGCATCGTCGAGGGGATACTTCTGATCGGTCTTGAAATAGGAGTTAAGGAAAGCAAACTGTAAAACCTTTTCTTTGGATAACCCCCAGCTGTCAATATGATTAACCACTATTGCACGGTTCATGGTGAGTGTACCAGTCTTGTCAAAGCATAAGATATCCCTGTAACAAAGAAAACACAACAAATTAATATGGAAGTTCAAGTTCAAAAACTTCTACAACAATAAATTTCAGAAAATGATAAAGCGATATGCAAGAGTACGTATTCTACCTAGTTTTCTTTCATGTTTTCTGCAAATGGAAGGCAAGTTGGCTGCTACAATTCTATTATGCAAGAGAATTTCAGGATAGCACAATGCAACACTTAAAATAGTTCTCTGAAATTCAGATCAGGCATTGCTCTACATTACAATTTGTCAAGTTTTTAACTATATCTCCATTTCAGCATAAAAGAGAATTGGATCGAGAGCCACAATGGGTCCCCTTCAGTTTAACATCATATAGTCAAGTACCGGTGAATTTGAGTGTTAATTATCTGAATCTAACACTCTTAAGTCAACATCACTCCCCTCCACCCTCTTCAGGAAAAAAAACAGAAAAAAGAAAAAAGAAAAAAGAATTCAACACAGGACTAGTATAATCCGATGAAGCTTGCACTGGAGCTTGACAAAATGCATACAATGTAGTACATAAAGGCCTAGCCTTATATGCACATTTCCACATTAAGACGATTCTATCCATTCCAAAAGCCACCAAATCATCATCATTTCAGGCACTTATCAGTTTGTGGTAAGATTTATCCTTCCACACAAATATGTCCATATATATATAGTTATGTATATACTCACATAGATCCCATGTCTCGTATTGCAGATAAGCTTTTGATTATGCATCTGTCTTTGGCCATAGCAAGTGCTCCTTTTGCAAGACTTGTGTTAACAATGAGAGGAAGCATTTGAGGAGTTAGTGCACTTGCTACCGAGATTCCAAAAAGGATGCTCTCAGTCAGATCATGAGATGTGGTGTAGTCAATTACAACTATGACGGTGACTGCAACTAGCATAACAGCAACCAGCACGTAAGATATGCGGCGGACACCATCCTCAAAATCATTTGGTGGTTCCTTCTTCCCTATGTTTGAAAACATGGTGCTCATGTATGTCTTAGATCCAGTGGAAACAACTAGACCAGTTCCGCCACCTGATACCACATTCGTTCCCTGAATTTTTTATATAACAGCAGGAAATTATATAATTGTTCAGTAACATGCAATATTACCAAAACATATTAAGCAGGAAATTCCTACTTAATCATGAATTTTTTTAAAGAAATGTCTTAATCCCAAACTTTTTCAATTTAAGAGTTGCAACCTCTGATGTTACGTGTACGGTATTGAAATGTTCCGGCATAATTTGAACAATTTAAGGCCTTATTGTACATACCATGAAGCAAATATTCTTCAGATCAAGCAAAGGCGTGCTTTGATCTTCTTTGATATCAGCAGTTTTTTCAGTTGTCCAAGACTCTCCTGTTAATGATGACTGGCTGTTCAAGAAGCATGGAGTGATCACTTAATCTAAAAAAGGAAGAATGACATAAAAGAACTCAAAAATACTCATTTATAAGACAGAAAGCTTTACAGGCACTGTACCTTACGACAAGGTGTTTCGAAGATAACAATCTCACATCACCAGGAAAAAGGTCTCCAGGTTCAAAAATGACAATGTCACCAGGAACAACATCTCTTTGGTCAATCTGTACCACTAGCTCCGTCTGGTAAACTCTACCTGCACATCTTTGAACTTTGACTGGGCACCTTACAAATTCTGAAAGCTTCATGGCCGCTTTTGAACTGCCATATTCCTGAAAGGAACATGGAAAATCAATCTCATTTGATTGAAAGATATGGAACCTATTTGATTGAACAAACTAAGCAAGAAATACCTGATAGAATCGGAGGGAGACACTTATGAAAACCAAAACAAGCATGATACATCCATTCGGGCTGTCGCTCGTAAAGTATGAGATTACAGACAAGACAATCAATATGATATTGAAAGGATGGAAGAAAGCATTCCACAAAATATGCCACCAGCTTGGAAAAGAATAATCAATAGGAACATTCGGTCCGTTTTCCTTCAATCTCCTTTCAGCTTCAGCAAAGCTTAGTCCTGCAGCGAAGCGAAACTCCAGAGCTATTATACGATTGTGAGGAGCTACAACTTCTTTTAGCCTTATAATTCGTGCTTACATGAAAATACTGCAAAATGCACCAACCTAGCCTTATAATTATCAAATTCAACTGAGAAATTTGCCTATATCTTGGCATTTCATAAAGCAATTCAAATTCAACTAACTTCCCCATACGTTTTATGGATCACCATCCGTATAACAATGGAGACAACCATGTAATACATTCAGTCAGTCTCTTTTACAAACACACTTGCATCTATCAGAAAAACAAATCTCAAAGTTCTCATTCCCTAATAACTTTGGTTAAAAACAGAACAGATAATTAAGGTGAGTAACTAAGGACACTAACCCCTTTCTGTGGATCGAACATACTCGAAAACCATATCCTTATCGGACTGCGCCAAGGCGTATATCCAAGCGTAGAGCTTCTCCTCTGCCTCAGTCCTTGACCCTCCATCAATTTTTCCTGCACATTCCACAGAAACAGCACAATCCCACATCAGAAATAGCTCCAATAAGAGAAAATCCATTCATGCATAAAAACAGAACAAGCAAAAAACTTCAACAAACCTCCAGACATAAGCCTGCGCAAAAATCGAAAGACCTTGCTGGCGGCGCCATCTTTCTGGGTTTCGGATTTGTTTACCAAGTTTTGGCGAGCTGGGTTGTAGTAAGGAAGGTGGCTGTGATTATATGAAGTAAAAATGGAGGGGATTTTGAACCAGCCCATGTTACAAAATTAAGCAGTAGCTGTTGGGAATGAGAGAGAGACATCAATTGTCGGACTGAGGACAAGTGAGAAGAAGAAGATGAGAAAGTCGGCATTTTTATTGGAGGGTATGTCTGAAGAATGGATCTTTGAAGAGAAGGTAGAGGGAGAGAGAGACAGGAGATAAACAAATTAATTGTGTGTGAATTTTGGGTGGTTTTTTGGAGCTTCTTTGCTTCTCCTGAGGTTTTAGGATCAGTTTCTCTCTCTAGGACTTTGCCCCAGTAGCTTCAACTACCAGACTTCAGATGACGGTTAGGTTGGTTACAAAGTTGGCTGAGTTGCTGCCTCTCCCAAAGTCATCGCCAGTTGTCAAGACAGATTTGTCCTGTTGAGATACCTGTCAACCAAAGTCATAGCCCACTCAACCTAGAGATATACTTCAAAGTTAAAAGCGGCATTGATTGGGTTTTAAAATAAATAAAATCCCCCCATATTTTTTTTAGTAAATTAATAATGAAGTACAAGAGAAACACAACAAAGAAAAAAAGAAAAAAGCATAAAAAATAAATAGAATGAGAACGAAATAATTCATATTATTGATTTCATCTGCGTTTATCAACACACATACAAAATTAAAAAGTGTAGGTTTACGTCACAATCTGTAATTTAATTTTAATTTATTCTCTCCCTTATTAATTATTTCCCTAAATAATGACTTTCTTATCACACATACGGAATCAAAAAGTATGCAGGTTTCACCACAATTCATACTCCAATTCCTATTCTTCTCTCCCCTACTGAAAATTTCTCCGATTCATAATTTCCTCCATTCAAGTAAAAACGGCATTAAAAGTTATGTCTTACTTACTTTTTCATCCCTATTTAAAATAGTTCTAACATTTGAGAACAATAAACAGACAAAATTTATCCAGCATCCAAGTGTTAAAGTTATATAATTGTGTTTCCTTTAAGAATACATGATTAGCCGTACTTGATTAATTTTAAGTAGGTGATCAATAATGATTACGTTGCCCATCATTTTCATTTAGGGGAGTGGTTTTCATCCCATCTCATGCAGAGCAGAGGCAGGACATTCAAAGCATTTGGTGTCAGACACTGAGCCAATAAGCTGAGAGCTGACAACAGAATAATTTCTTAATTTCATTCTGCTGAGGTCGGTTCTCAAGTAGCCAATAGGCAACTAACTGCCATTATAAATAATATATAATCATATTCCATGTGTTTTACACCAGAAAATGGATATTGTGATTTTGTTGTTTCTGTAATTCTTCATTCTGGCTTGTACTATAACTAATATACTATACTTTTTTTGGGCAATACAATTTGAGTCATCGACAGCATTTTTTTTTTCTCTTTGAAACATTGACCGCATTTTACTTTGATAACCCAATAGTTTGGTATTATTTGTGAAATGTTACTTCTTTTCTACTTTTTTAACGACACTTTTCCTAACATAATAGTTAGTTCTTTTTGTTTCCCTTTAATATGATGTGTAAGTTACTATTTTCTCAAGTCATCGGAACTAGCTCCGTTGGCCAGGAAATGTGGGATTAGCTCCGTTGGCAAGGGAATGTGGGATAAGAGGTTAGAATTAGAATAAGTCAAGAGTTCGATTCTCTCCAAGGTAATGAAAGTGAAAAAAGTTACATTATGTATTGTATGATTAAGATTTAATATTTGCATCTTGGAGAACCATTCTAGTGGTTAACAAATCCAAAACATGATTGAGATTGCCATGATCATAAATGAGTTTCTAGTTCTTATTTTATTTTATTTTATTTTTTGCAGATATTCTAGTTACATTTTTTAAATTTATATGCAATGCAATGTTCCCTGGAATCTTCGGCCTTTCAGAAACAAATGAGTTCCATACTCCTATCCTTCACTCACTGCAGTGAAACGAAGAAAGGACCAGACAACTGTTTGAAGGAGACATAACAGGAAAGAG